CTTCAACCCAAGGACTACCAGTGGTGATTTCAAAGCCCCCAAGGGAAGCCATTGGCTGTGCTGGCGCATTCACAGTGTATGACCTTACTTGCCTTTATCCTTCACTGCTTCTGCTTCAACAAACGTGCAGTTCAACTTCTGCCAACAGCCTCTAAACAGATGTTTGATAACTGGTGCTCACGGTCATCACTATTCACCTTAAAGTGATCACCTTTGTTAAGCCTTTAGTACACAAATGAAGAGTTCCTGATCCTCAGGAGTCTCAGGTTCGAGTCTCCACTGAATCTTCCGTGGGGTGTGGCATGCACTAGTTAGTGGGAAAGAAAGCAGAGATAAAGGACTCCTGGCGGGAAAAACAGCTGCACAGCATGGAATCACACCAGGGACAATGATACATGTCATCTATCTCTTAATAGAAAAGGTTAAATACTGCACTTTGTTAATGATGCATGACTATGTCTGTCTTAAAATTATGGAAAAGAGATTAAAAACAAAGTGAAACACAAACAGAAGGGAGCAGAAAAATGGATGGATTCATTCCTCAAGAGGAAAGTTCATTTCAGCATATCCTGGCAGCTGAAGCAAAAAAACAAGTATGATCTACTGTTCTTTTTGACACAAAGCAAGTGGCAGATATCTTGTATGTTAAACTGCTTGCACTGAATTATCTAGTAATTGCTATTGTAGCAATTACTAGATCTGCCATTAGGTTTTACTTCTGCAAAAGATACAATTTCCCCAAATTGATGTATGGTATCTTTTTGTGAAATCAATGGCATGTTGATAAATGAAATATTTTAGAAAATAATTTAATATTTCGGATGATTTGGCCTGTCAGATGAAGTCCAGCAAGGCAAAAAGAACTGACTAATTCCTACATGTTTTCTTACAAATATTAGTCATTCTCAAGCTTTTGGCAAATGCTAGAGCATCTAAACCAGTTATATTTTCTGAGAAGTGGATAAAATTCTGATTTCCAAGTTGATGCTATGTGATTTAGTTACATACATGAGAGCAGAACAGACATTCCTTTTTGAACATTAAGAAGTATAAATTATTTTCTCTACACATAAGACATGACTCTAGCAGGCTCTGGCAGTGTCTCAACATGGTGACTGGGTCTTTGGTGGGCTCTCTGACCTAGTTTTAAAAAAATGACTGAATTTTCTCAAATGCTTACATAGGAATTAAGATTATATCCTCGATAACTGAAAAAAAAAATCCTTACCATACAGAATGAACAACTGCTCAAAAGACTTAAAAATTACAGTTAACTATATAGTTAACACTTTGTTAGACCTGATCCCAAATGAAACTTAACACTGGTCCTACAGAATGTGAACAAGAACAGAGAATTCTTTCAGAGTTATCATATAGACACACCTTATTTTCAAGCTAGTAACTCAATCCTCATTTCAAGACATATTTAACTCAATGCCTTATAAGGTTTTTACTATTTTGTGAAACTACTTTGGGCTAAAATTTACTCATTTTTAAATTTTCATAATACTCTTCTGCTTTTTAATATTTAATATCTTCATATATTAGTATTAACTGTAAAATTTTCTACCCTTATCAACTTAATATGTGCAGAAAATGACTATCAGTTATCACAAACTGAGTACGCTTGTATTAAAACATTTTATAATATAGTTAAGTAACATGTATTATTTACAAACACTTTGATAAAGGTTAATTCAACTTAAAGTATTAGAAGCAGATTAAATCTTCAGGAAGTAAAGTCTTGACATGTTTATTATAGATGAGGATTTTGAATTATAATTGCACAAAGATTGAAAACTTAAAATATTTAGGCTTCACACTCGAGTTGGCCTTTTAGCACTGACAGTGAAATGAATACTAATAACACTGAAATATGTTCGTCCCTATAAAACTTCTAAAGACTCCTGTCTGTTTCTTGACATTTATTCATATACTCCTTACTATGGAGCAATCAAGACATTGAGTTTTTTTCCAGTTTTGACTTTAGCCAAGTCTGCGAATCTGGGAAATGGTACACCTACCCAGTCTTATTTTACACATCTGATAACCAACAAGTACTTAACAAGGGACATTTAAGAACAGTGGGGGAAAATGATCAAGTGGAAATGGTGGCTCATAATCAGGTGGTAGTGGAATCCAGTGCATTCTAATGCCTAGTTAAAACTTTAAGAAAATGGGCATGTTAGTATATAATGATATACTATATCAGCAAAATGCTATTAAATATTTTAAATATATTTTGCCAAATACCAAAATGTTTTGACAAGTATCAAGACATAAAGACAATAACAACACTGGCTGACTATGAATTAAAGATAAAACATGAGGGATGTGAAATTCAAACATTCAGAGAAGAGTCACATTAAGATTTTTTTTAGATCAATAATTTGATTATCGAATTACTAGGTACACAGGTCTTTCCCCCTTACTAAACAGAAAATTAAAAAGATGCTCTACAATATTAGCATTAAAATGTGATTTAAAGATCTTTAATTACTCATCTATACAAATGACCTAAGATCAAGCACAGGCAATGTATAAACTGCAGTAACATCTACATGTAGTTAGGCTTTAAAGAATAATACAAAGTTCATTCACAGTACACAAGTAAAAACAAGATTAAGTTTTAAATATCAAACATAAAGCCAGGATGGTTCAAGAGATAAGCATATTCCATATTGTTATAAGTACCTGAAACTACAACATAAGCCAGTTTGGAGATTGGAGATAAAAAACCTTACTTTGATCCCCTTTATTGAAAAACTAAAATACCCTATTTCATTTTTTTTCATAAATACATCTAAAATAAATATAAAATTACTAACTAGTTACGGAATTTATCTTTTAAATTTACACCAAATCTTACAGGTGAATAAGGTAATCAAATACCACTCTCTGCAATGCTCCCTACTCATCTGTACACTATTTGCTTACTTCTGGAGGCAAGTGTGGGAAGGAGTCCACCGGTGTAAAGCTGGCAAAAGGGGATAAAACAAAGAAGAGTGAATAGAATTAAGATTCTAAGAAATGCTGACTGCTTCACCTGTAACAACAGTCCAGTCATGAAGCAGTAGAATCGCTTGTCTCCTATCTCCATGGCTTACATATTGACTTTGTAAATTGGTATCCATACGAAGTACATTTCAGATATCATTTATTTACATTTGCTCAGTATTCCATACAGGTTTGTTCTGTCATAAATTCTGACATAGAAAAACAAGTGATTTCTGGTCTTAGAAGTTAACTTTTGTAGATTGATTGAATTTCTGAAGTGGTTTTGTTTAAATTTGAATCATTTGTAATTTTAACTATAGACACAACACACAGCTTTACTATTGAGAATCTGAGTTTTATTTTCTCTTTTAGTAACATCTGCATTAATAAATACCTTGCTTTCAAGAAAAAAAACAACAACATGCTTAGTATGAGATCAACTAAAAGGAAAAAAAAAAACCATGAAAGTCATATTACTAGTGAGGATAGAGGAATGTCTGGATTCATATTATGATTTTTAATAATATTAATTTTTATCATCTATTTATATTTAAATTATAAATATTGATCTCAAAGAAATGAAGAAAACCTACCTTTCTTAAACTTATACAAAGGGATGTGACATAAGCTCTGACTCACATTAGCCTTTTGCTTGGGAGAATCTGTGGAAATACAGTTGAGTACAGTTTTTTCTTCCTACTCATAACTCACATAAATAAATATGGCTCTATATCTATTTCTTCTGTAGACATATAGATTTGTAGTTTTAAAGTGATTATGTTCTATAAATGTATAGATATTAACACAGCATGATGTCCGCTTGGTAAGGAGGCTTACCTGCTGGCCAGAACTGGTTGGACAGAGTTTAAACAGAGAGGTCATCTCCTAACCTGTACAGAACATCCGGACTTCTACTCCTTTTCTGCTCACCCCTATCCCTAGATCTAAAAGACACACGAAATGTTCCTGACTACTTATCTCCTGAAAAACAATGGTACAGCAATAGATATTTAAAATTGTATATATTTTTTCTTATCAAACGGCATGAAATAAAAATTGAAAATTTAATCCTCAATTTCTAAAATATTTTGTGAACTCCTTCAGGTTTGTGTATTAAGTGTCAGATCTTGAAAGAGATCACAATAAATTAAAAACAAAACAAAATATGCAGGGTAGCAAAGGAACTGCTACCAAAATACAACTCCAAGAAAACTGTGAAATTAGGTAAACTAATTAGCAAAAGCTATTCACGATGAGCATTTTTATTAAAATAACAAAGGCTTAATGAAATAGTTGCAAAGAATAGAGTTAAGTGGGAAAGACGTTTAGAGTCAAAAGTGGCATATTTCATTGCTTTGAGGCCCTTTAGTCAATAAAAAAATATTTATATAAACCACATGAAAATGTTATGAAGGTATTATTCTAACTGAACTGCAATGAACTTGACTTTTTTCTTTTTCCTTAAATGTTCAGCTCAAAAGAGGGGATGGTCAACATTGATCTAATTGTTTAAATAATTTCTATTTAAAAGACAGTCTTTTGAAAGAAGCCTTTTCTTGATGCGTAGCTGAAATGTTTTAGAAAACATTCTAAATGAAATTAGTCAACTGATTATTCTTAATCTTCCCTATCCTGTGTCATAATCCAATAGCTCTGTCAACAGGTTAAAAAAAAAAAAAAAACCCCAGGTAACAGAAAGGCTTACTGAAGCATACAACATCCAAAATGAATTAATTTCAAATAGACACAGAGAGTACAAAAACAATGGAACCAAACAGGGCAGCTGTTATTGACTTGCATTCTAAGCTTACTTCTAAAGTGTGAGTTATGGCCCAGAAGAATCTCCTTCTCTGAATGTATATGGCATTGCTGCAATTCAAATTAACCTTTTTGAAGGATTTTTCTATTAATAGGTTTATTTTCACATGGTGAATATAAACTGCATATCATGGTCAAATAGTTTCTGGATATAGAACATTATAGCTATAGACAACAACTTAGTGGGTTACAATCATTTTATATACACTGATAGCTTTAAGAAATTTCTAAATTTTACTTCAAAACACCTAGCATTCTTTTTCTGGAAAATAAATTGTATCAAGTCACATCAACTAATGAATTCATTGAACCAATGCCACCATAAATGAAATAATGAACAGGAGGGCAAATTTCTTATCTTCAAGGATTGAATCTAATGGTCACACCACTCATATTATCCCAATTTGTCACTCTGATGCAATAGAATAGCATGCTAATGCCATTTCCACTGTTCTTCCATTCAAAAGGCACCTGATGGTTGAAGTGCCTCTAACACACATAAAATTATTTTTATCCCATGACTTTATTTTATGTTAGAAAGGCAGAATAGCAGAACAACAGCAAAAGACTTAGAAGTTTCCTTTCTTCAAATGTAGGCAGAGGCAATTACATTATGAGCAGGATTCTGCAAAAAAAAAAAACAACAAAAAACAAAAAACAAACCAGATTTGATAAATTCAAGTATGGGGAAACAAGTGCAAAATTTCTAAGGAAATTTTTACTACTGCATGGTCATAAAAATACTGGAGATTAAATTTGCTAGTTTTATTAGAATAACTTAAAATATCACCTATCATAACAATATAACATAACTGTATCAAAGATGATATATGACAAAAATAAAAAAACTGGAATTCACTTTCTATAGAAAAAAAATGCTGTAAGTATTGTATATTAAAATTAACCAGTAGCAGGAATTTATGTATGTTTATGTTGAATATAAACAACTTAAGCAAGTATCAGAATGAGTTATTTAAATCTACTTAAATCTATCAGGGTGAGGTTTACTAAACCCATGTTAAAATGATCACTGTGAAACTATCAGTTAAGATGTTTGGTAACTTTTATAAAATGCTCAGAGTTAAGCAACACTATCATTTCGTCAGATTTATTCTGTTAAGTGGAGTTGCAGGGTATAAAACAGACCAATTCTTATAGATCCAAATTCACAGTATTTTTAACAGTTTATGAATCTCAAGGGTTGGAAGGATCTCAGAGAATGTAGACAAGCAAGGAGCAAGGCAAGCCGAGGTGTTTTTTCTGGGCGTGGGCTCCCCACAAATGAGGATTGCCATGGTTGGTTGGTAGGGATTCCCTTGCTACTCTTAGACCAGACACTCATCAACAGGAAAACGCATGTTCCCAGCAGTAACAGTGACCCTCGATCTAACTACTGAACAGCTCAGGGAAGTGCCACTAGCTATTATGTAAAGCACTGGTTAGCTTTTGGCTTGCTCCTTTCATTAAAAGAGAATTAGTCCCTATCAGTAATGAGGTATCTGTGACATTCACCATCCTATCCACCTCTGACACCGATAACCCACTAACAGTAAAAACTATCAAGTGACTTTTGGTGCTGAAGAGCAAAATCTCCAAGTCAAGAAGGCTCTTAAAAACATGTACCTTTAACATTAACTATTAATAGTAATTCTGATAACAAGTAAGCTGTCATAACATTTGACAGTTTTAAAAGAAAATTTTCATATGCAGAAGATGTATACAACATTTATAAACCTACACATTTATAAAAATTGAGTTATTTTGGGCTTCAATTAGAAATGACTGGTACTTAGTTTCCAGATACAAACAAAGCACTACTCTAAAGCTTTCCAACTTCTTGATTGCTAGTGTCCTATTCTGTGTAATGCCCGACCTGAGCTGTGCTTCCCTTTCTAGCTTGCTTTTGCAAATACATTTCCTCTATAGAAGAACAATGTAGCCACCTTGATTTAAGGACTTTACTGAATTATGGAGGGAATCTTTCATATTTCTACTTTTTCCTGTCTTATTTTGTTGTATTCTCTCTATGGAGTAAGGGTAACCAATGATAAAGTAAATATTTTATATAACTGATAATTTCTTATAGTATTTCCCCCTTTTCAACTTCTTCAATAAAAGCAAAAGACTTACTTATTATAATTCTTCAGTGATAATTAATTGACTATGCTATGAGGAAGTTTTAAAATATGTAATATTTTATTGGAAATGAGCGTATAATAATTTAGAATTAGACAATTAAATCTGCACCTTCAGAAGAGTACTAAATTCTAAGACCATAAAATATTACTTCAAATAGGAAAAAGAATTAGTTAATTGCATGTAAGAATTACTGACATGCAAAAATTTGAGTCACCATGTATAACAGAAATTTTTAGCTGTGTTCACCTTTGTTCTGTCCAAAATGAATTGTAGCAAATATTTTTAGTCCACACAGAAGTCAACCAAGTTTTTAAAGTTACACATATAAAAGTTAGACTCTAGCTTCAGAGATTTCAGGCATTAAAATTATTTAATATTTTACTTACTACTAAGAGGCAAGCAAGATAGCAGAATGATCAAACTATTAAGAGAAGTTTGAAATTAAAATTTTGCATTTAGTCAGTACCAAAGTAGTAAAGAATTTTACTCACTATTATAATTTACTTCTCCTGATGAAGAGCTTCAATGAAAGCATCAAGTTTTTCTTGAATTTCTCTAACTTTCTCTGTGGAGACAGAGATGAGTAGTAGTTAAAAAAAATATTTTTCAAAGACTTTACATGTCATAGGAGATAACTATTCAATAAATTATCTGGGATGCTTCAATTATTTGGGAGAAGTAATTCATTCTCTCCACCACCCCCAACCCAAACTTTTAATTTTTTTCCCAAATAAAGTTCATATGGATTGTAGTAGCAACTCAACATTTTTTTTGGAAAGAAGAGAAAGCAGGTAGATTTTTGACAAATGCCTTTGAGAGTCTAATAAAACTTAAGGAATCTTCCATAAAAAAATGAACATGTAGTCACAATCACAATTATATACAGAATTTAAAGGAGCTCTCAGATTCTCTCGAGTTCAACCACAGACTCACAGTTAACAATATTTAGGAAAGAGGAAAATGTAAAATAATGAAACCATCTTTAAGAGTCAAAGAAAATACAGTTGAGTTTTTGACTTAAATTGGTTACCTGACTTTCTAGGTGTAAAGTAATGGAAATAATTACAAGGAAAAGATCAACCAATCTGAGCTAATTTAAATAACTATGTGCATGTTCTGTATCAAAATACCCTAAAGTTAAAAGACAAAACAAAATGTAGGAAGTGTTTGCAACAAACATAAAAAGGGCAATAATAACTTGCATTACACATAATACTGTACTTGCCCAGCTGAATGAGGAAAGTTTAAAAAACTGGAGCCACTAAACACAAATTTACATTTTAATTGATTATGGGTTTTTATGTTCATAGGGTTCCAAATAAAATCTGTAATTTCTCTTTGTGATATAAAGAAATGTTTCACAAATAAACTATTCACAGTACATGTCAGCCTCATAATAATAAAAATGGGGAAGTTTTCATTGATTCTACTTCATTGTTGACTTAACCATGCAGCTCCTATTTTCAAATCTAGGTTTCAGTGAGCATATTAATAACTATTTTTGTTCATTTGTCATTGCTTAACATATTACTGGGAATTATCAATTAAAGTGACTTTCAGAACTCGTGATTTAGAGGCAAAATGCATTCTACTTTATATATACAGAAGTATTATTTAAGATGCATTTGATATTCAGCATTTTTATTCTACATTTAAAAAGAAATCATGTGCAAATGAAGATGTAAGTATCCCCCTTTTTAATCAGTGAGCCAGTGCTAATGAGTACACACACAATGAAAGGAAGAGTGGCCCTTTCTGTGAGTGTTTACTAGCACTGTGGGAACTCAACAACGCCAGCAAGGGGGCATGTACAGACTTTCATGTCTTCCCACCCTTTTCCCAACAACTTAACACTTCTAGTTACAGGTATTAGACTGAGATGTATACAAAACCTATAGAGAAAAAGTGCTATTGTTTTTGATCAAATACTTTACTGAGAAAATATGGTAACAGTTACCACAAAGGCAGCACTAACTCCTTATTTATAAAGTCAAAGTAGACAAACTAGAAAAATAATTCCAATCCATCATTTAGAAGTATTTTTTGGTAGTGTATTTTTTTCCCCCAATAGCCACACCATTAAACATACTTTCTTTCTCAAAAATAAGACCACATTCTTATTTTTAAAATAAATTCATCTAGTTCTTTAGTAATAACTTTACCTATTTTCTTAAACGAGTATTTGGTGAATCCCATACAAATTCAGTTTATTAGTTGAATACTTTTTAAAAAGGAAAGTGTTAGGAGGAAACAAATTTTCTAAATCACCTCACAGAGTTTTAGAAATGGATGCGGTTTGTAAAAAATCATCACCCTAAGAAGCACAACATAAGGAAATCTACAATGGGTGTTTAGGGCTTCAGCAGTTTCTCTAAACATTCCTCTCAGGATTCTTTCTACCTGGAAGTTGTACTATATGAAGAGAGAAACCTGATTCCACTTCCTACCTGATCTGAGTACAGTCAGGCAGCTGCAAGACCAACTCTCTCTATTTTTTCACCCTGTCCATGACCTCCACCCTCAGGGAACACTATCCTTGCATTGGCCCAGCACCCCTGGAAATAGAGCATTCAGAACGAGACCCTCTAGTACTGAAGAGACCAAGAGCCACTCTGAGGCAGATGTCTAACTCTGTGAAGTCTGAATCCAAATCAAATTCTTCTGAAATTAGATAACTAGATAAGCAATGTTTTTCTTAAAAGTACTGACTTCAAAACGAAAACCATAAAATCAAAACCTTACCAAATTTCCCTTAAAAAAAATCTGCTTTTATAAGATACCTTACAATTAGAATAGTGGAACTTTAACACAATGCCCTGAGACCTTAAGAATGAAACAAAGGATTTGGAGTAAGTTTCTAGTAATGAGGCTGGGAGGAGGAAGTAAATGTTCAAAAAGAATAATTGTGATCAATTGTGTCCTATTAACACAAAATAAAAAAAATATTTTGTTTATTCCTTCACTTATTAAAAAACACACTTAGTGGAGTTACCTGAGGACACAGATAACTGCCTGCCTTAGGGAAGCATTTCTTGCTCTCTCCCCAACTGCATTCTAAGTCTATGTATGCAGCATCGATTGTGTTTTGGGCGATTTCAAATTCTACATTCCACTTGTCATTCAGTCCCTCATGTTTCATGGCCAAAGCTGAGAACATTAAACCTGGAGAGTAAGCCTTGTCCATATCCCTGCCTCAGAAACACAGGTTAGATCTGCAGATTGTAAATGGTAACAAAATGAATGTTACTATTTTAAGTTATATTTGCTGTAAGTTTTAGTTTTTATGTGAAATAGGACATATTTTGGTCAAAATTAGGAGTGGAATAGTTATAGAGCATTACTTGGTAGTTCTGTATCTAGGAATGAGTAAAAAATGTACAATGTACTACTGTACCCTGTTGAATACTATTACTTCTTGAGAGACTAGACATATTTGAACAGGCAAAGAAAGCCTGACCAGTGTCTGGCTCACTAAACATACTCAATCGTTAACTGATATATGACAAGTGAAGTTCCCAAAAATATGGCACAGAAAACAGGTCTTTGTCTATCAAGAAGAAAACAAACAAACAAACAAAAAACCACATGACAAGCTTCCTGGATGTTATATCAGGGCCCAAGAGTGTAAACCAAGGACCATAAGAGCTGAAGCAAGTCAGGGGAAAGGAGACAGGGGAGTCATGGATGATGAAGGTCATGAAAGCTGGTAGGTCACTCTGTACCACACAGACATGAGCAGGAAAGACTCAGGTCTCCCAACATAATACCAATAAAAAAAGAAATTTAAATTTATTACACCTTCCTAGGAATGCTAACATATGCTGACCATACACATACAGCTTTAGAAATTGAACTGAGTTCGTGCTCTACCAGGGAACTATATTACAAATATAAGCAGCATTACTTTCCATATTTGAATTTATTCATTTTAAATTCTGTGAAGTCATTTTCCAGCATTGTCTCATATATTAAACATGACATTTGACTGCATAGAAACAGAGTAACTCATGAAAACTGAAGTTGAATGACAGCAACTAAAACTTAATTGTTTTTGATCTTTCCAAATGAATGTCCCTCTATTATACTGTTTTCAAGTTCTAGTACCTAATTGCATTTAAGTATTATTTCACCAGTAGAAATTACTTTCCTACAGAAACATGTGTACAAACAGTATGACAAATCATAAAGCTAACTCCCATTTCTATTAAATATTTGTACTAAATACTCCAAGAGAATTCTTAGAAAATCTGTGATTTACTGGATAAATTAAACCAACCCAGGAATGGATTAACAAGCTGTTATTTCTATTACACCGAACTAGTCAATTCCACATGTAGTGAATACTGAGTCTACTTTCCATTTATCCAATGTTTACTTAAAAGATGAACTATCTCAAACATCAATTCATTGTGTTTCTTGATTGAGTCATGAATATATACCCATAATCCCCAACTCATAAACCGTCAGTCTCAGTGAATGAAGTTCCTTCTCTTTTTTCTTTTCTTCAGATGACTTGACACCCATTCATGGTTTAGGTCTCTTTATCTCCACATGAAATGATACTGCTACTCTCATTTTCTTTTAGAGTCTTCTGATACTTGCTCTAAAAGTCTCAAATATAAACTAATCTGTAATTAGGTTTTGAATACACTGTGAATACCAAGAGGCCAAGCCCAGGAGAAGGTTCACTTCAGTGGTTAATAACAGTTTAGAACAGTAACAAAGAACCACACACAAAACACTACCATATGCCCTGAAATAAACCTTTTATAACTTTTGATGTTTTTAAAGAAAGCATGAAGAAACAAGCTGCAAACTTACTAAAGCAATGTACTTTAAGCAAACCACACATTCAAAGACCCAAACATACCTTAACAGACCTGTTTTATAACATGCTGCACACAAACTTTATATACAGCTCAAGGACACCTTATATGTGAAATTCTGCTATAAAAATGTTTACAAAGGACTGAAAATTAAAAGAACACTTCTTTATGAAATATACATTCATTTACTCCTGAAATGGCTTGCTTTTTATTAGTTACATTACAAGTGTCCGTTAGAAGTTTGGTATTTAAAGGAGTCATCTGGGGCATGGGGAAGAAAGGAAAAAAAAAGTAAGTAAAAGAGCAGATTCAAGATTCTCAAAAATTACATTCAAAATATTAAATTTAACCTAACAAAAAAAATGTGTACCTTTTACACCAGATAAAAGGTAGAACCAAAGGTGTATATGCAGTGAAGTATCTAGTTAAATTTAACACATTCAGAGTTTTGGCTCTGTTGTGCTTTCCCTACAAACAGCTGTGACAGTTCATAAAACAAACTCTGTCACTAACGAAGACAGAATACTCTGTCACAGAAGGAGGCCACATTTCCTAAGTCCTGGAAAGCTGTTGAAGAACGGTATCTTCCTCCCCCTTACTCCTGGGGGATACTTTCCAAGAAACACAGTGGAGATCTGAAACCCTGGATATACCAAACCCTAAATATACCCCCCACCCCATATATATACAAACCTAGGGTAAAGTTGAATGTGCAAACTAGACAAGTAAGAAACTAATA